GGAAGTTTGCCCTGTGAAAACTCTTTTCAGACTGAAAACCCCCTGCCACACCTTGTAAGACCACCCCATCGTGGCTACCCCCACTCCTGCCTTAACTATTTTAACTCCCCCTTATGCTAATGGGACTCTGCCTATCCCAACCCCCTTTAGCCACTGTCATGCCGGCCTTTGTGGAAGAGATTGAGTGGCTTTACAAACACTTGATCACGTCTGCAGGCGGTGGTAGGGGATCTACCCTTCTTCTGCCTCTGCCTTTACCCGGCTTCCCCGTCTGATCAGGGGGCTCAATAACGATGCACACGCTTCGGTCAAATTCCCTAGGAAGAGTGAAAGTTCCCTCCCCTCCTCTGTGACATTAAAAACTGGAAGAAACTAGGATTTTGTCACTTCCCGTTTTGTTTTGTTTGTTGACAAGCCAGTACCAACTTGTACAGCATCTGATCAAACCAAACCAAACCAATTTGGAGGCCAGAGGAGAGATCAGGAGTCTAAAAAACCCCAGATTTCTCCATAAAGAGGACCTGTCACAACCCATGCTATCACAAGGGATTTTGTTCTCATTGCTTGTGATAGCAATAGTGTTGATCATAAAAATAAATAAAGGTACTGTGCTAAAAAAATACATTTTATGAGGGTGGGACTCTCCTTAAAAGTCCTACTAAGTTTAAAGGGCCTGGTATGGCTTTTAGGTGGAACCCCACGCACTTTCCCCCTAATTTGTGGGAGATGGGGTTCCCCTTAAAAGTTCTACCAAGCCTAAGGGGCCTGGTATGGCTTTTTAGGGGGAACCACACACACATTTAAAAAAAAAAAAACTACTGTGGGGTCCCTTCTCACCTTCCTACCAGAGCTAAAGCGCCTGGTATGGATTTGGGGGGGGGGGCCCATGCTGTTTCTTTTCTTTTTATGTATTTTTTGTTTTATTTTTTTTTTTTTATTTTGTTGAATTATTATTATTTATTATTATTATTATTGATTTATGTATTTCGGGGAGAATATTCTCCCCTCTGTCTTTGGCAGTGTCTAGCAACACACTGCATAAGATTGCAGTGTAAGCAGTCTTAGATAGTGTGCTGTGTGGACATAGTTGTGAGCCATGATTGGCCAAAGTCACCTTGACTTTGGCGAATCATGGCTCTCACAGTACAATGACTGGCCAATGTATTGCACTTGTGCTGTGATTGGCCAAAGTATTACACCTGACCTGTGGTCAGGTGCATTGCTTTGGCCAATCATGGCTCTCACAATGCACTGTGAGAGCGCAGTGCATTGTGGGGCACTTAGCGGGTGAAGAGCCAGTTGAATTCCCTTACCGTTCATGTGTCCGGCGAACACAAATGGCCGATGTTCAAGCCCAACACTACATGTAGGAGAGGAATGTTAAAATTGGTCTGGGGGTAAAGTGGTTAAAGCAGACCAGTTCATGTATACTCATGCCTCAAAAACCAATTATTATTATTATTATACAGGATTTATATAGCGCCAACGGTTTGCTCAGCGCTTTACAATATAACGGGAGACAATACAGTAACAATACAGTTCAATACAAGAGGGATAGGAGGGCCTGATCCTTGGAGCTTACAATCTAGAAGGGAGGGGTGAGTGGTACAATAGGTAATAACTGTGGGGGATGGACTGGTTGGAAGAGTAGTGGATTCCAGTATTAGCTGAGGGCGGGATAGGCTTCCCTGAAGAAATAGGTTTTCAATGATGGCCTAAAAGTGAGCAGAGTAGGTGATAGTCTGATAGATTGGGGTAGGGGGTTCCAGAGGATGGGTGACGCCCTGGAGAAGTCTTGGAGACGAGCACGGGAGGAGGAGATAAGGGAGCTAGAGAGTAGGAGGTCTTGCGAGGAGCGGAGAGTACGGTTTGGGTGATATTTAGAGATAAGATCGGATATGTAAATTGGGGCAGTGTTGTGGATGACTTTGTATGTCATTGTTAGTGTTTTGAATTTTATCCATTGGGCAACTGGGAGCCAGTGGAGGGATTTGCAGAGAGGGATGGAGGACACTGAGTGGAGGCCAGTGGAGAGATTGGCAGAGAGGGATGGAGGACACTAAGTGGAGGCCAGTGGAGGGATTGGCAGAGAGGGGTGGCAGATACAGAACGGTTAGTAAGGTGGATGAGTCTGGCAGCAGCATTCATTGTAGACTGAAGAGGGGATAGCCTGCGATGAGGTCGGCCAATGAGGAGGGAGTTACAATAGTCAAGGCGAGATATAACAAGGGAGTGAATAAGTCGCAAGCCACCAAGTCAAGCCGCAAAATCAATCAACCACCCATTACTGATTTCCAGGTAGCACTCTATGATCCATGTGTGGTGATGGTCCTTCACCGTTCAATCAATGGGATGGGGGCGAGTCTGTGACCAAGCATTAGTACTTAACTGCAATTTAGAAATGTCAGGTCATGGAGCAGGCTGTACTCCCTGTAAGGAAAGCTCAGATCATAAGACTGTCTGAAGAAAATTACAAATCCTTTAGAAGAAAAGAAGACACTTTCCGTATAAAAAAAAAAGACCACATACTGTCGTGTCCTCCCAAAGCCAATGTATGCAGATGATAATTCTCAGGGCCTGGAAATGATCATTCTTGGGTCTCGTGAACAGAAACTGGCACTTAAGAGTAATCCTGTTTTCCAGAATTATATTTATGAAATGTAAATAGAGTCCAATGTCCGTGCATGAAAACACTGACAGCAATACGAGAACTCACTAACATGTTGACTCAGTGTGTGCCTGCAGCCTCCCCCCTGACTCACTTGCTGCCTGTGGCTGACTCTTGGCCTGGCGTCACGTGTAATTATACTCCCCGGAGACACAAAGTCCGGATCTACAGCGGTGTTGAAGATGGAGGTCCTCCGCTGGTCAGCCTGGGATGGGTCTCCAGTCACTGTCCTCATATAGAGTGGTGTCATATGCAACCCAATTCCCCCGCACCCCATCCCAGGGGGGCTGGAAGCAACATGGGGGCTTCCAGGATTGTGAATTCGACTTCTTTACTTTCCATGGAGAGCTGCCAACCTCTAATTTTTTTGCCGCCACATTGCTGTGATAACATTGGTCTAACAACGACGGTGGCATCTGAATTTCAAGAGTCCTTCTGTCATAGTAAATGTTAGGAAAAGTAAGCAGTGAGATGGAAAATATTCATTCCTAGTGTGATTGGACATCAGAAGCGTCCTAATTCTCTGTATTGGATTGCAACATCCCTTTTTATCGTACCATTATTATGTAATGTTGAAGTACAGTCTAAACAAGGAACAAAGTCAGTTTCATAACCATTTCAGCTCCGGAAGATTGTACCCCTTTCATGACCACACCATTCTGGCAGAACAGCAAAAAATGGCGTGGTCGTTAAAGGGGGTAAAATCTTCCAGAGCTGACATGGTTATGAGAGTATTGCCAACCCCCCGAGGTGAAATTTACTGACAGGACACCCAGAATTTACTAAAAACAATTTTTTCACTGACAAAAATCAAGACATTTTACTGATAGAGCAACTTTTTTTTTGCTAAAACTTAAAAAAAGTCCATAAAATGGTTGTTTTTAGCGCAAAACAGTGCAAATATCAATATTTAATCTACAAACATGTAGCTAGTGCTATTAGCAATGTGTTTAACCACTTCCCAATCACCCCATAGCAGATATACTGCTACAGGGCGGCACGGGTGCGCATATCACGTGTATATATACGTGATTTTGCATTTCCGGGTAGGGGACACGTGCGAGGACAATCACAGCCACGGCTGTCAATCGCCGGTCCCGGCCGGTGATTACCCGCCAACGCCCGGTGTTTGCCGAGCATCTCCGAGGGGGAGGAGAACTGGTTGTAAAAAAAAAACAGTTCTCCTCCCTGTCAGCTCGTGCACACTGCTGTGGACGCAAAGCCATGCAAAGCAGTGTGATTACAGTGAAGCACACGGGCACAGCTTATAGTGAAACAACACACAGTTAACCCTTTGATCACCCCTCATGTTAACCCCTTCCTGCCCAGTGTCATTACTACAGTGTCAGTCAGGGGCGGACTGACCATTTGGAAACTCAGGCACTGCCCGAGGGCCCGGGGTCAGTAGGGGGCCCCATGAGATGCCCCTGGTACCTTTTTCATAGGCTTTTTGAGTTTGGGCAAGGACACAGGGACCCCATGATCCCCTATTGCCCGGGGGCCCCATGAGTTGTCAGTCCGCCCCTGGTGTCAGTGTTTTTTTGTTAGCACTGATCACTGTATTGGTGTCGCTGGGGATATCAGTGACACCAAGTCAATTCCCCCCATTGTCAAAATGCCCGCCACAGTCCCGCTATACAGTAAGTCACTGATTGCTGCCATTTCTAGTAAAAAAGTTTTTAAAAATTCCAGTATGTATACCACCATTTGTAAATGCTATAACTAGCAGAATACATTTTGGCCTAAATTTATGAGGAAATTTGATTTTTAAAATGTTTTAATGGACATGTTTAATAGCAAAAAGTCAAAAATATAGTTTTTTCACCCAAGTTGTCGATTTTCTTTTATATAACTCAAAAGATAAAAAATGCACAGGCAATCCAATACCACTGAAAGAAAGCTCAATTCGTGGGAAAAAAATGGATGTAAATTTCATTTGGGTGCAGCGTTGCATGACCACGCAATTTTCAGTTAAAGTAACGCAGCGCTCTATCACAAAAAATTGCCTGGTCAGGAAGGGGGGGAAATCCTATGGAGGGCAAGTGGTTAAGGTATAACAAAAAGCAAAAAACATATTTCTCCATTTATATGAAGGTCAGATTAATATAACCCAGCACAGAGTTCCCCTTTACAGTGCAAGGGGGAACTCTACTGACCCTGACGTAAAAGGGAACACTATGTACTCTCATGTAAAGGAGAACTCTGAGGACTCTGATGTAAGGGGGACTGCTGCAAGTGTAAAGGTAAACTCTGAATAAAGGGTCTCTGGTCACAACAACCCCCTCCTTATACAAGAGTCCACAGAGCTCCCCCTTACATCACAGTCCACAGAGACTGCAGACCTATTACAGGAGACAGTCAGAGACTGCGTATATGGCACAAGAGATGGTCAAAGACCACAGACGTGGCACAAGAAATGGTCTGCGGACATGGTACAACAGATGGGCAGAGACTGCAGGCATACTACAGGAGATGGTCAGAGACTGCGCACATAGTACAGGAGATGGTCAGAGACTGCAGGCCATACTACAGGAGATGGTCAGAGACTGCAGGCATACTACAGGAGATGGTCAGAGACTGCGCACATAGTACAGGAGATGGTCAGAGACTGCAGGCCATACTACAGGAGATGGTCAGAGACTGCACACATAGTACAGGAGATGGTCAGAGACTGCAGGCCATACTACAGGAGATGGTCAGAGACTGCAGGCATACTACAGGAGATGGTCAGAGACTGTATATGGCACAACAGAAGGTCACAGACCACAGACATGGCACAAGAAATGGTCAGGGACTGCGGACATGGTACAACAGATGGGCAGAGACAGCAGGCATACTACAGGAGATGAGCAGAGACTGCAGACATACCACAGGAGATGGTCAGAGACTGCATACTACAGGAGATGGTCAGAGACTGCAGGACATACTACAGGAGATGGGCAGGAACTGCAGATATGCTACATGAGATGGTCAGAGACTGCAGACATAGTACAAGAGATAGTCACAGACTGCGTACATTTCACAAGAGATGATCAGAGACTGCTGACATGGTACAGGAGATGATCAGAGACTGCAGACATAGACATCAGTGCGGACAGGAGATGACGGTACAGAGATGATCAGAGACTGCGGACACGGTACAGGAGATGATCAGACTGCAGACACATGACCAGAGACTGCGGACATAGTACAGGAGATGACCAGAGACTGCGGACATAGTACAGGAGATGATCAGAGACTGCGGACATAATACAGGAGATGGTCAGGGACTGCGGACATGCCACAAGAGATGATCAGAGACCATGGACATGGTACAAGAGATGGTCAGAGACTGCAGACATACTACAGGAGACTGTCACAGACTAGCTTGGCTGCTGGTTTTACATATTTGCCTTGTTTACTCACTGTGTCTATGTCCCTCTTCCCAGTCCCTTATGGTGTCCTCAGTAGCCCCCAGCCCTGAACAACCTGTGGCTGTACAGCTGTAAGTTGATGTGCCTCAGTCTGGCCTGTCAGTGAGGACACACACATTTTCTACTTTCTGCTATAAAACATATGTAATAAAAAAAATTAAAAAAGAAATGTATTTATAAAATTTGGCCAAATTTTGTATATCCTGCTTCATGTCTTTGGTAACAAAAAAAAAATAAAAGTTTATATTGATTGGTTTGCATTTACAAACTGTGGGATATATACTGGAATTTTTATGTATGTATTTATTATTATTACACAGTATTTATATAGCGCTAAAAGGTTTGCTCAGCGCTGTACATTATAGTGGGGGACAGTACACGAGACAATACAGTAACAAAACAGAACACGAGGGGGTCAAGGGCCCTGCTCTTTCAAGCTTACAATCTATTTATTTTTATACTAGTAATGGCGGTGATCTGCAAACTTATAGTGGGACTACAATAGTGCGGAGGGCAATCTGACACTAACTGCCAGTGACACTAATACAGTGATCAGTACTAATACTATCAACTGACACTGTACTAACGACACTGGCTGGGAAGGGGGGTAACATCTAGGGTGATCAAGAGGTTAAATGTGCGCCTAACAATGTTTAGTGGAGTGTACTGTGTGCTGTTTTACTAAGTAATGTGCAGGTATTTACTCCCTGCCCTGCAGGGAGACATAAACAGTACATCACTGCTGTTTGTAGTGAGCTCTGTGTTGTTTACCAACACAGGGCTCTCTCCTGTTATTTCCTGAGCCAATCAGCTAGTTCCAGCTATACACTATTGACCAGGACCCACTGATTAGCTTGTGCTGCAGCAAATGACAGCACAGTCATCTGGATCTATGCGCGCATGCGATAGCAGAGGTGGAAGGAAACCGCGATATACAGATACGTCATTGTGCCTGTAAGAGACAACCTGCCACAGTAAATGTACTGCAGCGGGTCATCAAGCTGTTAAAGTAAGCAACAAAACTTCCTTTATCTTCCCTGACTGAGCCAGATCCTCCTTTATTTGTGTCTCACACATTCACCCTCCCAGGCACTGCAGCTCCCAGTGGGTGGGTTTCAACTGCAGTGGCCGGGACTAGGTGTGGCCAGGCAGTGATTAACAAGCTATAGGCTGTTTGCCATGCTCCACGCAACATCTTCTCTTCCCACTTTACTGCAAGCAGGCACCGCATATATGAGAGTGACAACTCTGCTCCGAAAACAGGAGCAGTGCAGCGTTGTTGTCACCCCATCACAGGAAACTGCATTAGGCAGATTCCACTGGCGGGATCAACAGGTAGAACTTTGCAGGGGGACTAAGAGAAAACTGCAAGTGCAGATGCCTGTAATTAGTATTGCATAGCATTTTTTTTTATATTTATTATTATTATTATTATTATTATATTATATTATATTATATTATACAGGATTTATATGGTGCCAACAGTTTGCTCACGTTGTACAATATAAGGGAGACAGTACAATTACAATACATTTCAGTACAGAAGGAATAGGAGGGCCATAATGGGAGGTCATAGCCCAAACTTTTTTTTCAGTTTCTGATAGAAGGGGGAATAGTTACAACCCCTGTCAGGTTTGCTTGCTTTTTTTTGGTATGTGTGTCCCTTTGGTATGTATCACTTTCTATCCCAGACACACGGTAGGAAGTCAAAGAAAACTGACCTCTATTCTTCTTCCATGACAGCTGTAGGATTTTGGCTTTCCCATCACTTTCTGTGTCCATGTCATTGGTATAAGGACAAACAGAGAGAAGGAACCTCCCCATGGGGACACAGGCAGCAATAGAAATCTTTTGGTGAAAAGCAGGGGCGGACTGACAACTCATGGGGCCCGGGCAATAGGGGATCATGGGGCCCCTGTGTCCTTGCCCAAACTCAAAAAAGCCTATGAAAAAGGTACCAAGGGCATCTCATGGAGCCCCCTACTGACCCCGGGCTTCGGGCAGTGCCCGAGTTTTCAAATGGTCAGTCCGCCCCTGGTGAAAAGACTAAGCGCCTTCTCTTTGCATGCAAGAAAATAAAATATACTGTCTTACAAAAAAGAGTATCCCAATGTAATACATTATAAATTAATACTTAACCATTTAGTGTGCCAACAAAAATACAAAAAAAATGTTGTTGATGCCTGTTAGACGAAACATGTAGAGGCAGAATCACATCCAGCCACATGACGTCACATCTGCTTTCGTTACGTGGAACGTATGCCGACTCCCCTGTTGAGCAGTGCTAGCATCCTGATCGGAGTGTATTAGTGCCAAGGATTGGGCGCCAAATAATGTGAGTACATATTTGGTTGATTTAATCCATTTTTTAATAAATATACTATACTATGAGACATTTCTCCTTCTGATTCTTGCTAACTTTGGCGATGGAGTAAATTGGGAGACCATTGAGAAGATATACACTGATGTTCCAAACTCTTGGGGACACAAAGCGCATTAGACCTTCTTTTAATTAAGAGGTCATGGATGGTTGGTGAGTGAAATATATTCATATATGGTGGTGGAGCACAAAGGATCCACATGGAGCAATTTATTTGGCACTCGAAGGTCATGTACCATCGTTTTTGATCCACAGCTTGGTGTGGGACTCCTGTTCTTGTTTTTGTTTATGACTTTGGACTTACTGATTTATATCACTTTCACGTCTTACTGTATATGTTCCTATCACAGTTCGACTATTGTTTACCTAGTATATATGTATAGCGCCATGACTTGCTTTATTATATGAGCAATCAAAACCTGCCAGAGGGTCTAATCCATCCACACTCACTAACTATAAGGATTTGGCTTTAGATACATATTGACCTCTTGCTGCCACCACTCTGCCCAGCCTTTTAAGAGGGTCTCATCCCCAGGAGGCAGAGGCAACCTTCCCAATCATGTGACTACTGTGATTATTTGCCGCATTGGTCACGTGATCAGAAGCTCCAGATCGTAAAAAAAAAGTGACTGGGAGCTGTTTATGACAGCTCAGCCACTCTGGTGGGATTGAGTGCGATCTCAGCACAGAAGAGCAGTTCCTCTTGGATGCATACGGCATTAAGGCCCACCCACCATGTCGTCACATATATCAATATTGCCAGTGGAAACTAGTTATTACAACATATGATAAATATTTTTGTGACAGACCCAACCAGGTCAGGGGCTTTTGGAGGGGATAAGGGGCTAGCCTTATACCCACTGATTATGGCCCATGTAGTAGAGACCAGGGATTTTGTCTGCTTCTCCCGGTCAAAACATGGTAAAGAGCTCATTTCAGCCTCTGATTCCATGGAAAGAGCACATTATTCTCTAATGATGGACAGCAACGTGATGGCGAGGCTTGGATTAATTCTCCCTTCTGGAGAGGATGGAAAGGTGTAATATTATTCTTGTACAGGTGAATGGTCAGAGGAAATATGGTGGCCCTCCTGCAGACTGGGTTGGAGAAGTTCATCCACTTGGGACAGAAATGTTTATCAGCAAACTCTTTCAAGAAATCTGTGAAGATAAATTAATTCCACTTTTTTTTATGATGACTTTTCTAGTGGACAGATTACACAAGTACCTGAAAGACAGCATGGGTAATTTACTTTGTGTATTCAGGGTTGGGCTTTTTGCCGGACTGTCTGCAGTGGACTCCTTGATTAATCGAAGCATTTGCTGGGTGCTTGACTGTTGATTAGCTTCCTGTTAAGTAGATCACTGTCAGATGTTAGCTGCTAGCTGTTAATTAGATTACTGTTTGATTAGGTCACTGTTAGCTGTTGTCTGTTCATTAGATGTACTGATGATATTACTGTTTACAATTTGCATTGTTTAGGGTAATGTGATCAAGTTCTTACCTGATTCTGTGTGGTACAGGGGCGGACTGACAACTCATAGGGCCCCCGGGCAATAGGGGATCATGGGGCCCCTGTGTCCTTGCCCAAACTCAAAAAAACCTATGAAAAAGGTACCAGGGACATCTCATAGGGCCCCCTGCTGACCCCGGGCCTCCGGGCAGTGCCCGAGTTTCCAAATGGTCAGTCCGCCCCTGATGTGGTATAAATTCTGTGTGAATTGAGAGTAAAGGGAGTTCCTGTTTGCACCTAAGCTAGTGTCATCTAGTTCTTGGGTTCAATGCCCAGCTATAATACCTTGGTCCTGTGTTCCAAAAGCAACAAGGTGCCAGGTGGTCCGTCACAGTTTTCATCTCTCATTTGTAGCATTTGTATCAAGGCTTTGTCAGACAAGTTTCATTCCTTTTATACCCAAAGCCTTGCTAGGCATGTGGGTCCACCACATTTCATATGCACTAACTTGAACTTGAACTCACAAACACCTGAGAACCCACCTCACCACCCTTAAAAATCAGTCAATAAGACCCACCCATGAGGCCTGAAAAAAAATCATGTGTCTATAGACGTCCAGCACTTCTAATGATTACATGGGATCTGTGATAGCCCTGCATCGACCATGTTGCTTTGAAAACACCCTGACTGCATGTACATGGAAATTGTTTGAAGAAGCCTTGCTATACATTTGCATCCACCAGTTCTTGACTGCTATTTCATTTATTCTCACCCAACGCATGAGCCATACATTGGAAACAGGCCAGGAACAGGAGTTAATGGGAAGTCTTTCACTGACAACTGCCTCAAAGGAGATTTTTTTCTCACTTCCTGTTGTGTCTCCAGGACAGGAATTGAAGGTTAATCTCCCTAAATGGGGGCACCGACAGCAATAAAGACCTGATCTTTCCACTTCCCAATTGGAAAACAACATTTTTGCTGTTAGTTGGACTGTGCTGGGGTTCCTTTTATACATGTGA